GCTGGGAATTGTGGCCAATGGGAGCAGCCAGGGGCAGTGCCTGAAAGCGCAGGGCTGCACTGAGCCACCTGTGTCCCCCTGGAGCTAAACGGGAGCTGTGCCAGGTAAGCGCCCCCATCCCCCACCCAGACCCAACCTCCCACCCAGACCCCTCACCCCCAATCCACTCCTGCACCCTACCTCCCACCCAGCCCCTGCACCCTCACACCCAGCCTGCTTCTGAGCAGCCCCCTCCACCACACTGAATCCCTCATTTTGGTCCCATCATAGAGCCTAAGAGGTCCCCACAAAATCTTCTAGCCCCAGGCCTCCAGAAGAGTTAATCCAGCCCTGGGGGAAGCCATGAGCCTTGGCACAAGGGGAACCCCGGCACCTCCAAGTTGTGAGTGAGGCGAGTGTCTCTTTTTTTTCCTTAAACAAGGAGTCCTGTGACTCCTTATAGACTAACAGATTTATTGGAGCATAAGCTTTTGTGGGCAAAGACCCACTTCATCAGATGCAACTTTTTTCCTTGCTTCTTAGTTGGGGGCCAGGTCAGTGACGTGTTTTGGTTTGGGTTGGGTTTTTTTGCTTTTCACATGTGTGTGGCCCCTGACTGATTTTTTCTATAGGTCATTGGCCCCTGACCGAAAAACGGTTCCCCACCTCTGACCTAGATAAAATTACAATAATAACATAAGAACTAGGGGTCACCATATAGTAATCTCATGTAGCAAGTTTAAAATAAACAAAAGGAAATTTTTCTTCATGTAGCGCACGGTCAACCTGTGGAACTCCTTTCCAGAGGAGGTTGTGAAGACCAGAACTGTAACAGGGTTCAAGAAAGAACTAGATAAAATCTGTCAGAGGCTGGGAATGGGTGACAGGAGAGGGATTGCTTGAAGATTCCCTGTTCTGTTCACTCCCTCTGGGGCATCTAGCATGGGCCACTGTCAGAAGACAGACTACTGGGTTAAATGGTCTGACCAAGTATGGCCGTTCTTATGTTCCTGTGTTCTCCCAGGTCACAATTCCCTCCCAGAGCCTGCACCCCCTTCTAAATCCTCCCCGAGGCCAGAATCCTCTCCTGCACCCATATCCTATCCCTGACCCTGCACCCCATTCTCCTGCTCCATCACCACTCAAACCCTCTGCACCACCTTCTTCCAGGTCACAAGTTCCTCCCAGACTCTGCATGCCCTGCTGCAAGAATTCTCTCCTATACCCTAACTCTTTCCTGGATCCTACATCCCAAGATCCTACCCCAGATCACAAGCCTCTCCCTTCACTCAAGCTCCCTCTCAGGCCCCACATCCCTTCTTGCACCCCAACTCCCTACCACAAGCTCCCTTCTGCACTCAACCTCTCTCCCAGACCCCCCCCCCCATAGAAGTGCAGCCCTTGATCACTTGCCAAAGTCTTGGCATGCCCCCCATTAAAAATTATCGCCCATCCCTGAATTAGGCCCTAGTCTTTGCCCACGAAAGCTTATGCTCCTACACTTCAGTTAGTCTATAAGGTGCCACAGGACTCCTCGTCGCTTTTGTCAGCAGACAGGACTCTGGGCTAGATGGACCTTTGGTTTGACTCCGTATGGCCATTTGTATGTTCTTACGTAATGTGTGTGCATAGCGGGTTGGATAGCCAAGCCCTGAGAGTAGCTATCCGTGGTTCACAGTGATCCTGGAAGGACTTATCAAGAGGGTTCTGCAGGGATCAGTTCTGAGTCTGGTTCTGTTCAATATCTTCATCAGTGATTTAGATAACAGCATGGAGAGTACTCTTGTGAAGTCTGCGGTTGAGACCAAGCTGGAAGGGGGGGCAAATGTTTGGGAGGGGAGGATTAAAATTCAAAATGGTCTGGACAAACTGGAGAAAAGGTCTGAAGTAACTAGAATGAAATTCAATATGGACAAATGCCAAGATCTCCGCTTCGGAAGGAACGGTCAGTTGCACACCGTGTGAAATGGGAAACGCCTGCGTGGGAATGAGCACGGCGCATCACAAGCGCAAGTCGATTGTTGCAGAAAGCAAACGTTCTGAGCTGGAGCATCAGGTGTGATGTAACCAAGACGTGGGGAGCAATTCTTCCGGCTCTGCTGTGCGCTGATAAGGCCAGTGCTGGGGCCGGCTCTGGGAGCCACTCTGTCTCCTGTGTGGTGTTGCAGATGGCAGGGAGTGCCTGCCCGGGGGTGTTTCCAGAGCCACCATGGCACACAGATTCCAGTCCTCTGGCTGAAGGGCTTCTCCAGCTGGCCCGGGGCGGGCAGCGATCCTCTCCCGCCAGGAGAGATCTGCGTCTCGCGCTGATAAGGCCAGTGCTGGGGCCGGCTCTGGGAGCCACTCTGTCTCCTGTGTGGTGTTGCAGATGGCAGGGAGTGCCTGCCCGGGGGTGTTTCCAGAGCCACCATGGCACACAGATTCCAGTCCT